CGGTACCATTGCTGTGCATATTTTAGGGGCTTGAATACATATGATACAGGCAACTGGGGGCAATTCGGCCGTTTTCCCTGCTACCATACAAACTAACTTCCAGTAATTGTGCATCTTCTAAAAAATATGCCAGCATACGTGCATGAACTACATAATTAATTCACGAAGAAGCTACATTTATGTAAACAACCCTGTTCCACGAGCACTTCAAAGGCCCTCAGACCCGGGGCCTTCAAAACATCTGCGGACCAGCGCATGCAGAGTGGCACGCGCAAAGTCGGGGTCGCGAGCTAATTTGCAGACCGCCCAGAGGCCGTTGATATAAATGCTATTTCAAATGCCTGCAAAGCGGGATTTATTATTCTCCTATATTATGAACATGCAAGGAACAGAATTCCCCCGTCTGAAACACTTACGCCACCGCTTCACCAACCCCTCGCAAGGTTGCATTTTGTCGTGTGGACGGACGAGGAGGTTCATTGGCGGAATTGTCTCCGCCGATAGCTTTCAGGATATATAACCCAATTATAAAGGCAAAAGTGACAAGCAGGCTTACAAAATGCACCGAAGCACGTCAATACCGGCCTAACCCAGCGTCTTGCACACCGGGTAACGAGGTCCAGCTCCTCGAAGAGGTTGCGGCACACAACGCCAAACTAGGAAACCGTGGCAGGGAAGCGATCCGGATGCGAGATCGCCGAGCGGAGTCCTTCCCCTGACGTCACGGTACACCCCACCCAATCCGGGCGTGACGACCGCAGCGACGCTTGTGTTCGCTCTCGGGGCTAATAGGGGGCGCGCTAGTTCCTATCAAAATGGCTGTCATCTGGATGATCGTCGTAGAACAGCAGGACAAGGTTGGGTCTGCGACGCGTAGGTAATAACAATTGTGACAAATACGAGAGATATAAGAGCCGTACCTGATGTTTGAACGTCGGAAAAGGGCAAGCAAGCACCTTCGTCCGGAAGCCGATCATCCGGGAGCTAAAGCGTGCGATTCTCGCATGGCGGTACCACCATCGCTGAAAGTTCCGACTAGCACCTGACAGGACAATAACGGAAGGGAGGCCTTTCAGTTGTACTGCCTCCAGCGTACACCGTGCTCCAGCGCGAGCTTCGGACCCTCAAAAACACTTGGGCGTTTCGTGAGCTCCATGCGTGCACGCGCAGCCAAAGCCCGACGGAAGGCCACTAGCGCGTGCTGTAGGCTAGACATCCAAAAGACACGGACGCCGTGTGCTTAATTCCTTTCCTCTCAGTTTTTTTTAAATTTTTTTTTCAAAATTTGATATGAAGCTATAGACCCTTTACACACGCGCCAAATTACAGCCGCCATAGCCGACCTTCTCTTGTCTTACCGAGATGCCGAGCAACTGAAACGGTAGTTGACGATCCTCTACAAAGGCCGATGCTTTAGAAAAGGACACAGTTGAATCTAATATCACAATTACCTGGCCTGCTATGGTAAGGATGAAGTGAAATAAACGGTATAAGAGGAAATAAAAACTGAAGGTCAGTTATGGCGGCGTCCATGCACAGCTGCTGCAAAGCGTCTATACGCACCATCATGCTTCCCTGGACGACGCTTGCACTGCATGGGTGCGCGTGCTTGGCAAGGGCGCGCGCTCGTGCCCGGAGCTCGCTCTTACCTATCTTCTACTATGCACCATTCCAAGGTTCACAAATTCCTTCAAGACTCTTGAGTCTCGTGTTTACTCATACCGGAATTACCAGAGAGGCCATGGCGTTCGCCTAGGGGCTGCGCAATTAAACAAAGTAGGAGGAAGGAGCCATGTCTCACTTATCGACACTCGTCCAAGAGAAGCTGTACTATCGTGTTTGTTGGAAGCGGGCCAGCCGCTTTCTCTCATATTGGCTAGGCGGAAGATCCGCTTTCTGAAGGGGTAAATCTTTCGGGCTCTAAAGCTTATTGCTGGGTATGCCATGGGAGTTATGGACCCCTAATTAGAGGGGAACACTCTTTCGACAGCGGTGTGCGGAAACCACGCGGAAGCACTTGACTGGGCGGACCCGCCGTGACGTCATGAGTGTTGACCGGGGAACATCACTGTCGTCATGCGCAACATCGGCCAGCACCCTCTGGGAAGGGCTTCCGGCTACAATGCTATGGCAGAAACGGAGGCCTTCGCTTGCCATATATATATATATATAGAGAGAGAGAGAGAGAAAGAGAGAGAGAGAGAGAGAAACGTAGCGCAGGATGACGAAAAGTATATACGGGAGAAAAACGCACTTGAGACGGTTGTTGGAGTTTCTAAAACATCGTATACGTGAAGTTGGTCGACGTTCCGGCCTGAGACAGACCTTTTTCAAGACTGGTTACATTTGACGAAATATTGACATACCTTGGCTACATCACGTGGCCCGTGATGTCACGTGATGTAGCCAAGGTGTGTCTATATTTCGTCAAATGGAACCAGTCTTGAAAAAGGTCTGTCTCAGGCCGAAACTACAACTTCGAAGTACAGGTCGGATTTGCTAATATATATATATATATATATTAGCAAATCCGACTTGTACTTTGAAGTTGTCGTTTGTCTAATGGTGTGCTGAAAATATGGCCACGGTGGAACTGAAGAAGCTCTTTGAAGAGGCAGTGCAATGATTTCATCGTTGAACAAATCTGCAGCCTGTATCTTTTGTATTGTTTATTCTGGCAAAATGGGAGAAAACGCGTCACCTTCCCCCGAAACACTGCGATCACACTGCACAAAACGCGAAGAAAAAAGAAAAACGCGTTATTTGTCGATCTACAGACGCACATGTAGTAGTTATGGGAGCCACGGTGTCCCGTCATTGAAACTACGAGTACACGGAAGTGAACCAAACCAGTCCCTCTCCGCTGCTCCAATCGCCGTCAGCCCCGTGGCAAACCCGTCTTTTGTCTCGATCGCTCGACGGGACCTTCTGCTACGCCAGGCCTTGAAAAGTCGACAATCGCGGAGGTAGTACTGGGGGCCCTGTAAAAAGAACCCAGCAAGAGATCAGGAGGTACTGCGACAGTTCAGGAGTATACCGACCTTCCATTTGTTTCTTTTTTTCTGATTCTAATAAAATTAGCGCACGCAAAAAAAAAAAGTTTTTGTTTTTTGTTTTAATAGCCCCAAGAAATGGGGGGCGGGAAGGAGGGAGGGGGGGGGGGGGGGGGAGTGAGTGGCGCGAACTCACCGTTCTTCGACAAGACGTGGGATCTGGGAACACGTGACTATTTCTGCGCTTCGTTGGTGGCGTGTAGGTTGAAGCGCATCGGTCATAATTTATGTTTAATTCGTTGTTTTGACCGTGTGTTCCGGGTTGATTTTAACCTAATCTTTTCGCCGCACTGCTCGTCAAAATTAAACTCCAGCAGCACGTCAACAGTGGCGTCGCGATCTACTGACCGCGACGCCACGGTTGACGCTACTGCTGACAGGCCAGTGGTGGTCGTGACTTCGGAGCTTTGTCGAGTGACCGAACAGGTACATTCTAAGTTCCTGAATCCAGTTTCTTTTTTTCTTTTTTTCTGCTTGTCGGAAACAGGCAGAGCAAACAGTTGACATTTAAATACCTACACACTATACGGGACTGAGTAGACTTGTTTAGTAGAAGGGATAGTAAAATAATCAGAATGAAAATTGTGGGAAAGAAAGAACGCAAGAGAAATCAGCTTCAGCAATGTACAGGTTACTAAAACAGGACATAAGAAAAGAACAGGTAATTGATGGAGAAGCCATTACTGTTCGAAGCGAGAACGAGAGTGTTAAGCACAAAAACATATGAAACTAAATTTTTAAAAGATAATAATAAACACATATGCGCCGTATGCCATAGTGACAGGACACACTAGAACATGGGTTTTTTAAATGCACGGGTCTTCGTCCTGCCCTCCCTGAAAGGGTGACGGAGTTGACGGGAGCACTAGATTTTGCTGGCGGCGAGGATGGAAGAACGGTGGAATAAAGGATTACAGCACAAACAGAAAGTTTGAAGATTGGCGGGGAAGGTCTAGGGAAGCGTGATTATATACAGAATTGGTGAAGTAGATGATTTAAAGAGAGACGAAGTTTATAGCAAAATTTAAAGCGGATGGGTGTAAATGCTTCTAGGCTGGATGACACACGCTAACGCCTGATACAGAGAGGGTATAGCCAACTCACCCATCCAATTCATCCATCCCATGATAGAAGACAAACGCTTCCTGAAGCACTCTGGTCGTCTTCATAATGCCTCGCAAGAAAAAGTAGCAGCCTGAAGAGGACATCTCTGAACAAAGGCGACGGCCCACTGAGGTTTAGCACAAACGTCGGCCAATGAGACGCCGGAAAAGAGAGAAGGGCGTTTGACTAAAAAGAAAGCAACGGTGGGCTAGTTTTGCTACGACCAAGGGCTGAGTGAGGGAACTAGGTTCGTATCTATTTAAACAGCGGAATATGGCTTTTATAATAAAAAATTTTCAAATGGCTCCCGCATTTAGACGTAGCCTGCAGAAAAGCACCGCAGAAAAGCACCGCAGGGGGCTCGACATCGCTGCTTCCGCCATGACGAAAACGCACTTGTTCATACAGGTGCTGCTCCTGTCCGCTACCATCCCACCGAAGTATGCAGAGGATTGCCCGACCGAAGCCCGTAGTCCCGGTGACGACGCACATCATCTGTTCAAGGAAAATGACACCGCATCAACGCCACACTCGCTGACCCTGCTAAGTCCAGCCAGTTTCACCAACTTCACCTGGCAACCAGGAACATCGACTGGGGAGTGCCTACAAAAGCCGCTTCAACGGCCCGGCCAGTTGGGGCTCGACATTGCTGCTGACGCCATGGCGAAAACGCACTTGTTCATTCAGGTTGGTTACCTCAAAAATGCCAAATGTTTCCGCAGTAATGATTTGTGCCTGTTTTTAGTGTCGAGCCCCTACGACTATGCGTGCACTTCATGGAAGTATTTTTGTCACCACTGTTTTCACTGCACATATATATCATTGGTCTCTCGACTACTGTTAATTTTGTCGGGAGACGTGGAATCTAACCCGGGCCCACTGACTGTCAGTGAGAATCTAGAAACCATTATTGTGACGGTTCAAAGAATCGAGGCTTTACAGTCTGAGATTTGGCAAAAGTCATGTCTTTAGAAAACGTACAAAAGGCAAGTGACGCAACTGTTCAGCAACTCTCTACCAGGTTATCTGCGGTAGAAACAAGGGTCGATTCGACGAGTGCTACATCTGGGATTCCACCCGCCCTTAACATGTCCGTCGAGCTAGCCAATATACAAAAACAGTGCGAAGATAACGAAAACCAGCTTCGGAGATTGAATCTGTTATTTTTGACTGCCAGGATGACCAAGTGTAAATATAGAGCCAATCGAAAAAAAAATTTGTCAACTTCTGCGCAAACAATCTACACTCTAAGAAATCCCTGCGCGTCTACTTACCCGCAAAACACTCGACGCGCCAATCTCTGCAATCTACGATATTAGCTCAGCGAATGATGAGGCGGAACATCTGTTTAGACCTCAAAATTAAGACTGCGCTGTAACATTGCTCAATGCAAGTCTGACGCTTTGCATTGCGTAATGCCACAGCGCAGACTTCATTTTTAGGTCTAAACGGATGTTCCGCCTCATCATTCGCTGAGCTGATTTCCTCGATCGCAGAGATTGGCTCTTTGAGTGTTTTGCGGGAAAGTAGACGCGCAGGCATTTCTTACAGTGTAGGCGTACATCTGGATACCTCTAATCTAGAAAGATCGGACCGCTTAGTGAACTTTCAACGCGATAAAAATAGACCAATTATCGTCAAGTTTACCCGATTCAAAGACAAAGAGAGCATCTTGGCTGCCGGATTCAAACTGAAAGGTACACTATAAAAGGCCCGTGCGTTTACTTTCCCGCACAACACTGTGAGAGCCAATCACAGCAACTTACAGAGGCAGCTCAGCGAATGACGATGCCAAAACATATGTTTAGATAAAAAAAACAGTCTGAGTTGTGACATTAAGCAATGCAAGCGTGACGTTTTGCATTGCATAATGTCACAAATCAGAGGTTTTTGGTCTAAACATATGTTTCGCAATCGTTTTTCGCAGAGGAGCCTCCGGAAGTTGCGGCGATTGGCTCCCTGAGTGATGTGCGGGAAAGTAGACGCACGGGCTTTTTTTAGAGTGTACCACTTTCGCTGTTCGCGAGGGTTTTTCTGGGTCAGTACGCTTTGGACCCGCAGTAAGCTTTATGTGTGCGGAAAGAGTTTCAACGTGCCGTTTGAAGTTCGTTTTAACAAATTGCACATCAATAACAAAAGTTTCGTCTTTAACTTGGAGTCTGTCTCTAGTAGAGCTCGCATAACTAGGTACATCTGAAGAAAAAAAAAAAAAAAAAAACATTGTCATTTTCCTTTTATGCCGTAACGCGCGATAAAAGTAACACATTTTCTGTCGTTTTCAGAAATATTCGCAGCATCATACCAAAACGAGACGAGCTGCATAGTGTTCTTGGAGACAATTCGTCTGACACAGTCATTCTCACTGAAACTTGGTTGAAACCTGATATTAATAAATCTCTTTATTTCGTTTCGGAGACGAAAACAGGGGACATGGACAAAAAGCTGCAACTGCAGCTTGACGAAGGTCCGAGCCCCCTCTTACAGCAGGCGAAGAAAAATACATATAAATATAATTACACACATACGGCTAAGAAAAATAGATATAAATATAATTATACACATACGGGACTTTTCAATACAAAGAAAAAGAAAATCAAAAACATTTTCGTACCTCAGTCAGTGTCATCCCATCGATATCAATTTCTTTGGTAAATAAGTAATTTAATAGAGTAGTTAACTGGTAATTTAATGTTTGATTAAAATACAACGTGCGTGATGGTGCAACAAACCATTTTTCTTTTGGTCTAAGTTGATATGGTGAAGTGAATGGGACAAGACTACATAGACGCATAAAAAAGCTATCTGTAATCAGCAATGATTTCTTATACGTGACTAAAAGCTTATATTCATAGATATTTTGAATAGGTTTAATTTTTAACGAAGAAAACAAATGTTCGGTATGGTGATAATATGAACAATTAGCGATAGCGCGCACAGCTTTCTTTTGTAAAATAAACAGCTTGTTCATGTTTGCTTTTGTCGTATTGCCCCACACAAGGTGACAATAATTAAACTGCGAATATACCAATGAGTTATAAAGTAAAAGCTTTACAGATTGAGGTAACAACGACTTAAATTTTATGAGTAATCCAACTGTTTTTGATAATTTGGATAGAATAAAATCAACATGTGCGGTCCAGGACATAGTTTAGTAAACTAGATACCCAAAGTTTTAATTTTATCTACAAATTCAATTTCTTCGTTGTTTAAAACCACGGGGCTTGAGATCACAACTGGAATATTGGAACTGCTGAATATGATGGCCTTGGTTTTTTGGGAATTTAGTTTAAGCAGATTGCTCGTCGTCCATCTATTGATTTTATCAAGCAAGTTGTTACATTTGGCTACAAGTGTATTAATATCTCGCCCAGGAAAAAAAATACTAGTATCATCGGCATAGATAATAAACTCGATGTCAGGGTCGCGATTTACGTTAACAATGTCATTTATATAAATAGTAAAAAGTAATGGGCCTAATATACTACCTTGGGGAACGCCACTGGTTATATTTAGAATATGCGACTTAAAGTTAGATATAACTACAAATTGAGTTCTATGCTGCAAATATGATTTTAATAACTTTAACGTGTTACCTCGAATTCCAAAACATGTTAATTTTGCAAGAAGTATGTCATGATATTGATAATTGAAGTTAAAGAACTTTTCCCTGTACAACTATGCTATAACATTTTCCTGCACGACCGGCCCAGCCGGAGAGGCGCCGGTGTACTAACTACAATAAAAAGACATATTCCTTCTTTTAGCATTTCTTTAATAAGCCATGGCTTAGAATGTATGTGTATATGCATTTGTACACCGTCTAGAAAAGTAATTCTTGGTGTATATTATAGGCCACCCGATTGTGCTTCATCCTTTCATATACTGAACTGTGCTCTGTCCTTCTGGACGTAAAAAATCGTTTCCCAAAAGCTGACATGCTTCTTTCGGGTGATTTTAATTTTCCTTCCATAGACTGGTCTAATCTATCAAACGGAGGCTCAGCCGCATCAATATTGTTCTTAGATATGTGGCTCACCTTAAACTTCACGCAGTTAGTTGATATACCGACGCTTTCATACAGCATTCTTGACTTGATTTTAACTACGTCATCAGGTCAAATCTATTCACTACTGCGATGGGCTCCGTCATCATAAATTTCTGCACATCGACTTGTCACTTCCCGTTCTCATGGAGCATCCCATTTCCAAACTCATTCACGACTATAGCAAGGCTGACTACGCATCAATTAACCATGAGTTGACAATTTTCTGCGACCATTTTATCTCCGCTTTTTGTTGTAGGTCGTTGGAAGAAAACTGGGCGTTATTCAAAGTTAAAATGAATATTCTTGTTGACGTGTTAGTTCCAATCATTTATATACGCACTGATGCAGCAAACCGATGGTTTACAAAAACTTTTCTGCCATTAGGACACAGGAAGAAAAGAGTTTTCGCAAAAGAGAAGGGTACGAACACTCCCCAAGTTTGGGGTGCTTATAATTCTGTCATAAAGGTGTAGACCAGTAACCTCTAAACTACCTAAAAAAAAGTTTTTTTTTTTTTTTTTTTACGATTTATTTAACATACTTAGTAGTAAGCAATTCAATGAAATGTTTTGTTTGTTACAACAGCTAAACACTCGTTCAATCATATTTGAGGAAGGACAGGCCGGCATAATAAGTACAGTGAACGAATTAAAGGCAAACCAGACAAAGATTGAAACTAGACTAAGCTCTATTGACGAAAGACTAGCGGCAGTCGAGTCTGGAGCATTGACGATTAACGAAGTTCAGCGGGAGCGAAGTGCCACGCGCCAGAACATCGAGCACCTTCAGGATGAAGCTGTTGTTTTTCGCTCTCGTCTTGATGAAATAGAAGACCGCTCACGTCGTGACAACTTGAGATTTCATGGCATTGCCGATTCTCCCGCTGAAACTTGGTCACTCACTGAAAGAAAGGTTGTCAATGTTCTTTCCGATCTGGGAATTCCTTGCGAACACATTGCCCGCGCCCACAGATTAGGCTCCTTTTGTAAAGATAAATGTCGGCCTGTTATCGTCAAATTCGAGTCATTCAAAACAAAAGATAGTGTCCTTCAGTCGGGAGCTGCTATCAAAGGTAGCGGTTTATCGGTCAGTGAAGATTTTTCACCGGCGACACGCCAAGCTAGATCTAAACTAATCGATTTTGGAAAATCAAAAAATGCTGCGTTTAAACTAAAATATAACAAATTGCACATCAACAAAAAGATATACGCATACGACTTCACTAAGGACAGCGTTTACGAGGTCGTTACCACTGGCGCCGTGCGGGCAGTTAATGACGAAGCTGAAAACAGCGGGGCTTCGGCATCGACCGGGTGCAACGTCCAGATAGTATTTTGGGGGGATTGGTTCAAGCCGCTGCCTCAAGGCACGTAATGTTCCTTTACTCTTTTGCAACATTCGAAGCATCATGCGCTGCCGGGACGATCTTAGTTCAATTATTGAGTCCTCTGATTGCGAAATTATTCTGTTAACTGAAACATGGCTGTCTGGTAGAGTTTGGAGCAGTGAAATATTTACGTGCGGTAAGAAATTTAACGTATATCGGCAGGATCGAGGTGAAAGAATGGGTGGGGGAGTTCTTATTGCTGTGGCCGATGGTATAGTCTCAAACGTTGTCGATGTTTTAACTGACTTAGAAATGCTTTGGGTCAGCGTAACTGTAAACTACAAGCAATTAATTTTGGGTGTGTGCTATCGGCCATCCAACGCTTCGTCTTCCTTTTGTGAACATTTGCATGATTCGGTTAATGCAATCGTTAGTCGGTTTCCCACGTCAAAAATTGTTCTCCTCGGTGATTTTAATTTTCCTAGCATTAAGTGGTCTACTGCGCCGCCTACTGTACATCCATTTTCATCAGAAGGGAATGACTTCATTAATTTATGTTCTGAGTTCAATCTTTCTCAACTAGTTGATCAACCTACACGAATTACTTCTACCTCCGCAAATAGTTTAGATCTTGTGTTGACGACATGTCCAGACTTAGTATCATCTATTTTGTACCTGCCTGGTCTGAGCGACCACTGCTTACTACATATTGATTTAAATATACCTTTGCAAGCTACTTCTAATACTATTAAAACAATTCGGGATTATGGTAAAGCAGACTTTAACGCTATTAATAGTAAATTGGCGTTGTTTTTAGACACTTTTCTAAGTAGTTTTTTCAGGCGTTCAGTTAACGAAAATTGGAATATATTCAAACTAAAAGTAAATGAGTTCATTGAGTCGCACATCCCACTCAAAAGAATTTACTCGAACTCGAATGCACCATGGTTTACTAGAACAATCGGGAGACTTCGGAACAAGAAAAAGCGTTTTCTCCGTGCCGCTAAGCGTGATCCCACAGCTCACCGATGGGACGCATACCATGCCTCTGCTGATTTGTACATGACAGCTGTGTGTAGTGCGAAAAGTACTTACTTTAATTGTACATTATCATCTATGCTAATTAATAACCCCCGCCAGTTCTGGAACACCACGAAAGAGAAAAGTAGTACAGTTGTAGAGCTCAGAGCCGATGATGGTAGCCCTATTTCTTGTGTAGAGTGTGCCAATGAACTCAATGCTATTTTTGTCAGCTGTTTTTCTGACCTCCCTATAAGTAATGATCAAACATACATGTCCTATGACTATCTCCCCATGTACCCCATATCAATTAGTCCTGAAGGCATTGTGAACATAATTGATTCCCTTAAACTATCCTCGTCATGTGGTATACTAGAATGTACTCCTGCATTCTCCTTGCGAGTATATTTTCTCAATCCTTAGAACAAGGTATTTTGCCAGACGACTGGAGGGTAGCCAAGGTGGTCCCAGTTCACAAAGGAGGTGATAAATTCAACCCTCGAAACTTTCGCCCAATTTCATTGATCAGTGTCCCAAGCAAAATTTTAGAGCATATCATTTATTCTAACATAGTCAATTTTCTAGAATCAAATAAGTTTTTTTGTCCCTTTCAACACGGCTTTCGAAAGACATTCTCATGCGAAACACAACTTGTATCATTCACGCACGACCTTCATTCTATCGTTGACGTTTGCTCCAAAGCAGATTGAGTATTTCTAGACTTCTCTAAAGCCTTTGATAAAGTGCCCCATACCTTACTCTTGTCCAAGCTTAGTAAACTAAATATTGATCCGGCGGTACTCACGTGGATACATTCATTTCTAACGAACCGTAAACAATTTGTCAACGTGAATAACACAAGCTCTACTATGGTATCAGTAACATCAGGTGTTCCTCAAGGTTCTGTGCTTGGTCAGTTATTATTCCTTATATACATTAACAATCTACCCTCTCATGTATCCTCAAAAATGTCTTTATTTGCTGATGACAGCGTTATTTATCAAGAAATTACTCATGATTCTGATTCTAACCTACTACAAAACGATATTAACTCTGTTTCCAGCTGGTGCGACTCGTGGTCTATGGTACTAAACTCTAGCATATGTAAGGTTATGAGAGTGTCTCGTTGTACTTCATCTCAGCCCCATTATACGCTAAATAACCATCCCCTTGAATTAGTTACGGCCTATAAGTATTTAGGAGTTCATATTACATCTGATTTATCATGGAGGACTCACATTAACTACATCATTAACAACTCTAATCGCATGCTAGGTTTTCTTAAAATGAATTTTTTTTCAGCACCCCAGTCTTTGAAGCTAATTCTTTATAAAACCCTTGTACGATCAAAGCTGGAATATGCATCTTCTGTTTGGGACCCTGGTCAGTCTATACTAATTGATCTGATTGAAGCCGTCCAAAATCGTTCTGTTAGATTTATATTTTCGAATTACCATCGGACAGCCAGCGTAAGCACTATAAAGTCTAATCTTTCTCTCCCTGAATTATCAACTCGTAGAAAAGTAGCCCGTCTAAGTTTGTTTCATAAAATTTATTTCACTAATGAGACGCTGCGTGATAAGCCAATTATACCTCCTCTTTACGTTTCACCTAGACTTGGCCATCAACACAAAGTTGGCATCCCATATGCTCGCACCAACGTCTTTCACCATTCCTTCATACCGTCTACATCCTTTGACTGGAACCACCTGGCTGCACCCGTAGTCTCGATCATAGATCACGTCCTTTTTAGACGCGGAACTGAATGCAACGATAACAACCCTACAGTCTGTTGTTGAACAGTTGCAGACTGAGTACAATGAGTTGGCCCAAAAGACGAAGTACCTTTTAGAAACGCGTACTGATACAGACAAAAAGGTATCAGAGTTGACAGAACGAGTATGCACGCTTGAAAGAAAACTGAACGCCTCCCAGTCGGATATACAAGATGAGCTAGCCCAGAAAATGAGGGAAATTTCAGAAGGGCGTTCTGGTGCGGACAAAAAAGTATCTGAGTTAACGGAACAGCTATGCACGCTTGAGAGAGAGCTTAGGGCCTCTCAGCCGGATATACAGGTTGCACAAAATAACGATTCAAAATTGGAAACTGCGCAAGTTGAACTCGCTGTTCTAAAGTCGCGCTGCAATGATGCAGAAAATCGTTCACGTAGATCGAATCTGGTATTTTTCGGACTGGAAGATAAAGATAAGGAAACGTGGGCTGAATCGGAATCTCGCATTATCGATCTTTGCGACAAAAAGATGGGCATAAAGATAAATCCGGACAATATTGATAGGGCACATCGTATTGGAGCGTTCAACAGAGCTAAAAAAAGGCCCATTGTAGTTAAGTTTTGTTTTTTTAAACACAAAGAAGCGGTCCTATCTTCCGGATACAGGCTTAAAGATAGTGGCTTCGCTGTTAGTGATGACTTTTCTAGGCCAGTTCAGCTGGCAAGAAGGAAACTAGTGGAATTTGCGAAAACGCAAAACAGCCGGTTCAGGTTGCGAATGGACCGACTGCATATCAACGATAGGTGCTTTATGTTTGATCATGAATCTGACATTGTGCGTGAGGTCGACGATATTCAGTCTAGAGAACTTATCGATATTCCATCGGCATCAAACCAGGCACCCATCCAATGAAGCTTAAACGTAAAGTATAACGGCGCAAACCGTTCATCATACCTAGGCAATCCCAATCGTCGTGACATACAAGGGGCAAACAAGCCTGTTGTGACCACGAGAAACACGGAGGTGGGCACAGTCATGATTATTAACTGCCGCAGTATAAAAAATAAGGTGGACGAATTCATGGGTTTAATCGAAACGGTCAGACCTACGATTGTCTTGGGGACGGAATCCTGGTTGGATGACACTATAGGATCAAACGAAGTATTTCCAGATAATTATGCTGTTTACAGAAAGGATAGAAATTCGCCCGGCGGAGGCGTGTTTGTCCTTGTGAAAAAAGGTGTTCCGACTACACCTTTGCCAATACCAGATGTAACCATAGAAACAGCATGGTGCCAGATGTGTTTAGACGGTAAACATTTATCGGTTGGTGTATACTATCGTCCTCCACACGAGAACAGTAACGGCTTAGATGAACTAGCTGATTTGATCCTTGCATCCTCAAAAGAGTATATCCTTCTGGGCGGAGATTTTAACATTCCCGATTTAATTTGGGAGGACGGCAAGGCGACCTACTCAGGAAGCACGCTTCATACTAAATTGAGTGCCATTGTGGAAATGTTTGACTTAACACAATACGTCATGGAGGGAACGAGACTGTTAAATGTATTGGATTTGTTGTTATGCAACCTACCGGAGGCCATAGACAATGTTTGTGTGCTACCGGGCATTTCTGATCATAAGATTGTGACAGCTGATTTGGTTCATTCAAAAATAAATAAATATAAATGTCAAGCTAGAAAAATATTTTATTACGATAAAGGACGATATGATACCATAAGAAGCGAACTTGTTAGTTTTTTTTTTCGTATTTTTTAGAACAATCCGATAACGTTAGTATTGATGCACTCTGGAACATCTTCAAATGTAAAATCCATGACCTAGTTGAAAAATACATCCCCTCCGGAGTAAAATCCTCAAAAACTAAGAATAAGCCCTGGGTGACAAAAGAGGTGAAACATATTATTAAACGAAAAAGAAGAGCATACCTTCGATATAAGAATAGGGGGAGTGAATGAAATAGGGTGAAATTAGAAAACATAAATAGTCTTTTTAAAGCTACAATAAAAAGATCCAAAGACTCGTATTACGAGCAGTTAGAAAATAAACTTAAAATGAACCCTAAAGAATTTCGGAAGTTTGTAAAAGCAAATAACAAGGACGATACGTCTGTTCCTCCTCTTTTAGTAGGCGATGAACTTATCGAGAATGAAAAAAGAAAGGCAACGCATCTGAACAAATATTTCGAATCTGTTTTTTCTAAACCTGCTGCAACGTGCTGTCACCCAAACGTGCAACAAAAAATTAAACATGTCATGTCACCCATTGAAATAACATATAATGGCATAGCCTCGCTGTTGCGAGAACTTGATGTCCAGAAAGCAATCGGACCGGATAACATCTCTCCGGTTATATTGAAAAACTGTTCTGAAGAGTTGGAAAATTACTTGTGTGTTCTTTTTAATAAATCTCTACTGGAACAAAAGCTTCCATCTGATTGGAAAATGGCAAATGTGGTGCCTATACACAAGTCAGGAGCAAAAAACTGAGTGGAAAACTATAGACCTATTTCTTTGACGTGCATTTGCTGCAACCCTATTGAAAATTCCATCAAGGTACGTAATTTGGGACACTGACTGCCAGTCAGCAGCCTTGGTGGAACGTGATGGACCATCAGACGTCATCTGATGGTCCATCAGATGACGTCTGACTGCCACTGCCAGGGGAATTTCATCAACAAGGGCAGCATTTATATAAGAGTAAAGCTATACGCACTCATAAATATCGCCAAATGCCTCGATAAAACAAAATGTTCGAGAAAAAGAGAAAAAAAAAAAAGCAGGACAACCGCGGATTCGAACCCGCGACCACTTGCGTACAAATACGCACACCTTAAACGCTATGCTATGGGACCGCTTTTGAAACTCGATTTCACTAATCGTTTTATACGAGATGCTTCGGCTGCAAATGCAGTTAAGCCGTCAGCATGTTATGCAAAGCACTCGTACATCACTCGCCGTACTTCAGTTCTACTCACCTGCCATGTAGAGTACTTTCGCGTCATAGAACGATCCTTTTGTTCGCGCGTCACCGGCCCAGTAGACCTGGTACACCTTGTCGTCTTCAACTACACCGCTAAAGTCCCTTACATCGTCGGAACTCACAACAGGCTGGGTCTTGTCGGGTAGAAATTCTACTAAAACATAAGTCATTGTAGAACCCTGGCAGGATCGACAGGTTGGAGCAAGCGGGCAAACAAAACGAGTCGAGAGCGATCGTTCATGAAAGCTCGGCGAAGCGGCGAAGCGAAGTGTCGTTTTCGGCGCTTCGGCGGGCTTCTGATCAAGGTTGTCGGTCGGTTGCGTGTCAAATATCTAACGTCAGCGGTTTTATGGGCTCACGTCCCGAAATCGTTTTCTCGTGCATAGATTTCTTTTCGTATTCATAGATTTGACGAAATAGTGGTGTCCGAACGAACTTTACGTCCTTTGACCGTACGTCTGTCTGCATGTCAAAGCTTTTTGACGTACAGTCAGAGACAATCGATGTACAGTCAGAATCGCCACCAAGACATCCTGATGGAATTTCGCGGCGGCCGACTGCCACCAGGAAACCATCAGAAAGCCGACAAGCAGAGCCTGACTGGAGTTTGACTGTCGGTCAGAGTAACTTGTTGGCCAATCAGACATGCTTGACGTACAGTCAGGCACAGTCAGCGGTCCACTAGAAAACATTGACTGCCAAACAGGGTTACATTGATGGATTTTTCCTTCGGGAAGCTAATGGAACATGTCATTTATAGTAATCTCATTGCTCATCTAAACGTCGAAAAGTTTCTTATTCAAGATCAACACGGATTTCGTACTGGAGCATCCTGTAACACAGTACTTGTTGATGTCTTTCGTTTTCTTGCTGGAGCCATTGACGCTAGAGACGAAGTGGATTGTTTGTTTTTGGATTTTCGAAAGGCATTTGACCTTGTAGATCATGATTTGTTATTTTATAAACTTAGCTTACTGTCACTGCCTAGCAACGTACTGGCTTGGATTAAAGATTACCTAAGTGGACGGGGGCAATGTGTCGTGCTCGGTGGGGAAAAATCTGAGTATGTAAAAGTCGAGTCTGGTGTCCCCCAGGGCTCGGTGCTGGGTCCTCTGCTCTTCCTGATCGACATTAACGACATTATTTCTAGCATGCAATCGTATATTCGATTATTTGCGGACGATTGTGTTATTTATAGATTAATTAATGATTCTAACGATATTAATACTTTACAGAGTGATCTAGATAAAATTTCTGTATGTTGTAAAAATTGGAGAATGAACCTAAATGTTAAAAAGTGCGTGCATGTTAAATTTACTAAGAAAAAAAATCCCACTACTTCCGTGTACATGATAAATAATGAAATAATTAAACCTAGCTCGAATGTAAAATACCTAGGTGTTATGTTATCTAATGATTTAACGTGGACGGGACATGTTGAATTGATAGCCCTAAGGGCAATACGAATGCTTAATTTTGTACGGAGAAATTTTCGGCAAGCCCCGAAAAAAGTTAGAGAAACTTTATACTTTACATATATCCGTCCGTGTATGGAGTACGCCTCAGTTGTCTGGGACCCTCACCAAAATTATTTAATAGACAAACTAGAAAAGATACAAAATCAATGTGCTAGATTTGTACTAAACTATTACGAACTTGGAGCGAGTGTCACTAACATGAAACATGCCCTACATTGGGAGAAACTCAGTGAGCGTAGAAAATTGTTTAGGATGAAATTTTTAGATGATATCTACAACAATAGACTATTAATTAACAGAGATGTGTTTTTACATGAACCGTTTTATATGTCCGAAAGAGCAGATCACCCCAAGAAGATTAGACCATACTCTTGCCGCACCGACACCTTTGCTTTTTCCTTCTTTCCGAAAACCATTGAAGAGTGGAATAGGTTGCCGAAAGATGTGCTTGCGGCAAATTTGGTTTTTTGAATTTTCAATTGTGTAGTGTTTTTATAGACAGTATGTTTTTATTTAATTTCATTATTGATCCATAGAAAGTGTTTTGCTTTTTTTTGTGTGTGTGTATTACTTATATTCTAAAACAAAAGTGTTTCTATCAAACCCACCCCCTGCAATAATGCCCCACGGCGAAGCAGGTTTTTTTCTGTAAATAAATAAAAAAGCCTTGGAAAGTATTTTTTTCTAATCTACATTGATTGTATTTCCTGTGTATCTGTGTCTGTGTTTTTTTTTTTGTTTTTTTTTCGATATCTCATGCAACCACTTTCCCCTCTGTAATGCTCACGCCCTGAGGGTAAAATAAATAAATAAATAAATAAATAAACCCAAGGAAGTTTTGAAACTTGGTCTTGCCAAAAAGAAGCAACCCTATCATCCATCTTACAGACGTTAAAAGTGATCCCATCCTGGAAAGCGACTGCCCTAGAGTTTTTAATGATTACTTTTCTTCAGTTTTTACAAACGAGTGTTTGGACAGCGTTCCCATTCTTCTCGATGAACCCCATGAGTTCATGCTTCCTGTTAACTCTGCTAGAATAAAAAAAATCGCATTGATAAACTAAAACTTACACTATCTGCTGGTCCCGATAACATCAACTCTAAAATCGTTAAAAAAATACAAGTATAATTTCTAGCGAGTTTCTAGAACTGATCTTTACACAACCACTATAAGAATGCTGTCTTCCCTTCGACTAACAGATAGGCAGAATCATCCCGGTTTTTAAAGGGATTCTGAACCAAAGGATTTAGCGCCCATAATAAGTGGCGCACGTTCTTTCCACGAGCCAGCAGCCACCGGTGTGCGCGAGCACACGCA